GAGAGAGAGAGAAAGAGAGAGAGAGAGAGAGAGATGGAGGAAGAGAAAGCCAATAAGGCGACAGACAGTATTACAAGAGGCTTGATTGCATTCGATCTTCACTTTTCTGACCCAACTTTCATGCATCCATCAGACTGGTTATCTATCCATTTAGTCAAGCTTACTTCGTGCATTTCTCTTCCTTGCCTTTTATTTCTCTCTTTCTACCCCCTCTCACGTTCTCGTTTTCTCTCTATCTTCCTCTCGCCCTATCCCTTCTGATAAACACAAGCACACTCAAAGCCAAACGACTCAGGCTGAAGCGCCAAGGGCAGGGTGTATGCAAAATTGCAACGTACACATTTTGGAGCCATTGCGCATAGGCACGCCTAAATACGTCTGTACATGCCGTTGTGTCGATCCCGAAAATTGGCCAGAAAAGCCCTACCTGGCAGATGCCCAGACAGCTGTGACTAGCAGGCAGCACAGCAAGTTGCTTTAAACAAAGAAGCATTGAGCAAAACTGATACAAGCATACTCGAACCCCTCCCCATGCTTGACCGCATCCCCAGCCCGCGCCTGGCAGAAGAGATGGTTTATGAAGTCAGGCCGAGGCGCATGGAAGAGTGAAAGATAAGAAGAGAAAGGGAGAGGATGAATTGACACAATTGGATGAAGGGAAAGAGTAGGAGGGCGAGACGAAACACGATTTCCTGACCAACGATTGGCATCGCTACCATATTGGTTTGTAGGCCTCGAAGAAAGGGACAGAAACAAGTGCATCATATGCTGTCGGAAAATGTGAGAGTCTTCAAATTGCCATGATCCTTTGCCTCTGCTGTATGCAGGCTATCCCATCCGGCGACGTCGGCGTGCAGTTCTTTCATTGGCCTCCTGCGCCAGAGTTATTTTAGCGCTTTCATCTGAGGGTTGGGAACGCTTGTGTACTTTAGCCTCGAGGCGAGCAAGTCGATCGAAGGCTAAGACGCCAACTCCTTTTTCGTCCAGTCCGTTCTCCAATCTGTTTGCTTCCCGAGATCACGCTCTCTGGCTCTCTTGGCCGCCATTTGCCTCGCCCCAGCAACAGACAGCTAGCGGTAAATCACAGCCATTTGATTGGCCTAGATGGTTGCCCAATCATGACACGAAGCGTTCAAGGATGTCTTCATAGTGTGTGGATTGATGAATAATTTGGACAACATTTGCATCGACTTCTAAGCCTTGATAACCTCGAGTTTGTGCTCTTTCACTAGTTTTGGTGAAATCCGACGTCGACTGTCGGTTATATGTTCTTAAGAGTTAGAAAAGGGTTTCAACAACTTCGTCCCGGAAGCTCAACAAATAGCACAATGTCACATAATCGCCCATAGTGTCTATGGCAAATGCAAACGTTTAAAATCTACTCGATACAGGTAGCTCAACTTTCACATTTCAACATAAAGTGTTCGAAAAATCTGTGCCTATATGAATATAGGTGTGTACCACAATGAAATGAGTAAAAGCCTCACAATGCCAATGAAATACCCCTAAACGAACACACCTAGTCCGGAGTCCATTGTATGCATGATCATTTCCAAAGTTGAACCGTAAACGTGGTACATTCCCAGACATTCCGCCGGCATCGTCAGAGAGTTTCGCCATTCGTAGCACCATATTACAGCTCATCAAAGCCGATACTTTGACCAAACTTGTGCTAAACAATTATGATATCTCCCCTTCTGCCCTGGCCTATTCACATTTCCTATACCTTTACCGTCACAATTTTTTACTTGCTTTATTAAATGTGGTACAGTGTGCCCTTTTGAGCGGCTGTCATGAGAACCCTCGGCACTCCCCCCCCTTCATCCTTGTGCTGGGAATGTTGATCAGAGTCTGCCATATTGTTACGCAGTCCTCTATCTATCTCTAATACCAAGTGCCAACCCACAAATTTTGTGATATTGCTTGCTTTGACTAGGTTCAATGTTGAGCCACAACGTTTGTGGGTTGGCACACAAGAGACTAGGGCATGGCAAGTTATAGACTTGGTATTAGAGATAGAAACAGGATAGACGGTCCGACTTTGGAAATGATCATGCAGACAATGGACTCCGGACTAGGTGCGTTTCTCTAAGTCTTCCTACCAATATGACCATGTTGTGAAAACAAGGTCAAACAAAAGGCCACACCATTATGGTCTTTATACCTTCGAATTACTCTTAAGTTTGCCTCTAACCTCAGCCTCTCATCCAAGTAGGCAAGACCTTGGCCTAATGTCATTTTGGAAAATTCAAATTTACGTTAGTTCATCATTTTAGAGGATCCAAGACTTCGTTGTGTAGACGCGTCTTGGACTCGTAACAGCTTAAGCATATTCTTTGGAAGATTTTGGAGAGTCTACATCCTATGCGACCGTAGACACTAGTTTATGTGGAAACCCTATTTCGTTTAAGTTGATAATGGACTAGTAGTTCCATTTTCCCACACTGACTTGAGTAGGCATGAGGTTTCCATTGAATTTCTTATAAACTTTGCCTCAACGGCAATCCCACTATAGAATGTGATATGGGAAAACGCCAGGCATTTCTTGAAATTCACATCTGCCCTGCGATCTAAGGACACTCGTGGCAATGAGGCGTAGTGGTTAGCGTGTCAAGATTGCACTGGTATGCTTCTAGTACCGCTGAGGGTGTTGATAAAGACCTAGGTGAGGTCTAGACTGCAGTCCACTCAGGATGAGAACACCTTTTGGAAGGGCAAAGCCATGTGAAATGCAATGGAAACCTCATGTCTACTCCATTTATTGTGGGAGAATTTAAGTATTAATCCTTATATAAGCTTTAACGAAATATGATTGTAATGGCCAATATATCTTATTTACTGGCAGTCTTTGAAACCTACTCAAATTCTACTACCAGTCCTTCATCACCTTGGACGAAATAGGGTGAATACATCTCATTACACTGATTTACTGGTAATCTCGAAACCCTACTATG